TATACGAATTTCCTTTCAGCGACAAATCCATGTCGGCGAAGATGATGGTTGGATGACTGCGCTTTTGGGTGAAACCTATGAAAAATATCTCCCTCGACTGGAACCATTTCTAGCTAGCCCTACTAGATGACTCTCCTCCAAAAATAGATGGGATGATCCCAAAGCTGTGTATGGAATTCGCTCGAACAGATTCATTTAACCACTCCTCTACTGGTGCATTTTATTGTGGCCAAGTATTTGCTCCCAAGCAACAAACTTCTTCAACCTTTCAACGCGAATCAAGTCCTCCACTAGACTTCGAAGATGCATGCATTCTTATGTGTCATGACCATGATCCCAATGATTGTGACAATATTTGTTGGGATGTCAAAGGGGTGCCCTCTTCAAATACTCGTTGAGGAAGGCTCCAACCAATTTAGCCATCGAGGCTATAACGGGGGTTATTCCTTGCATCTCGCGATATACGTGCAACAACTCATAATATTGTGCTTGTCGTTGGTCAGAATATTGAATTAGACCTCCCTGATCATTATTTTTACCGCCTCTCTGGTTTTCTAGGGGGGGGGGGGGGGGGGTGGTTTTTTCCAATAAGACAGGGGGGGGGGGGGGTTCGATTGTTCTCATAATGAGAATGACCAGATGAATGTTGATTATTCTTCGCCTTCCATCCTTCGACTTGGACAGCCCTTTTCTTCGAGCGACGATCGAATGTCTCTGCCTTTGGCTCAGAGGAGCTGGTAACATATTCCTCGGCAACGATGTAATTGTCGAACATTTCCAACAGTTATAGCCAGAGATATGGGCTCACACGAACCTAAATCAAACATGAAGCGAGCCCCTCTCACTCCTTCAACACGGCGGTTTGTGCAATTATGATCTTCAAATCTTGCACTTCAAGCATTTCTTTCTGGAAGGGGGTAACGTAAGAAAAAAACTTCATTCTCACTTTGTTTGAGCGACAGCAGGACCTCTAATTTCTTCTTCAGCTTCTGGAAGCTAGCCAAGTGGGCCACAAACACTTTGTTGAGTTTGTCAAAAAAAGAGAGAACTCCCACTGACAAGTTATTGAACCAACTATGGACCATTTCTTTTAGCGTGGTTAAGAACAACACACTTCATAGCATCATTAATTCTCAACATTCCAATCGCTGACTCGAAATCAGCTACGTGATCGGACGGAGCATTCTTTCCCTTATAAGAATCAAAGTGAGGGTCAGAACTTAGCCGATATATCAGCTTCCTGAATCTGTAGGGAGTAAGGTCTCTCTAAGAATGGCATTTGGGGCGCTTCCACCCGTGTCGATCAACATCTCTCCATCAGTGTAGACCCAACATCATCATATCGGGAGTTTTCTTGCTCTGCGGTCACTGGGACTTCTCTCTGACCGTTAGGGGTTGATGGTTCTTCTCAGGGTTGAGCCACGCAAGGTTGAGTCCCATGGAACTCTTCTTCCAGGGGGTGGTTGATCTCACCCTTGAGTAATTGCTTCATGGAGAGCATCAAACTGATCGGCCATCTGGTTCTACAACTTCTGAAGTTGCTATTGCACAAATTCTCGTGTACACTTCATTATAGTAGTATCTCCTTGGTGGGTTTTTCCTTCTTGCAGCGCTCTGCTTCTCATCTGAGGCATGCCCATGCTCACCACACTTGCTTTTAGGAATGTTGAACCAAATTGCCTTTGTGTAGACACACCTCGAGGCTTAGAGCGTAAATGAGAAAGAGAAGAGAGTGCGAGAAAAACAGTGTCAATTTTAGAAAATAAGTTTGTAACCCTTCATTCAAAGAATAACCCATATTTACAATCATAGGTGGCTTAAATTTACAATTACATAATTACCCTTACTCACTTATCAATCTATGGGTGTATCAGATCTTTCTCCTAATGCTAGAGAGGTTAATCTAACCACCCCTTTAATACATATAACCGAATAGACATCACTTCCATGGGTAGTTATGACTATTGAATCTTATACTTGACAATTAATATAATTGACTTTTGTCTTTAGTTGACGATCTCATAGACTTGGGTTGATTTTGTCAGCAAATTGATTCCACTGACCGTCTGTACTTGATGGATCTACTGGTCAGATGAGCGGATGTGCAGAGTTAGCCGTTCTCTTCATATAATTTTGATCGGCGGTCCAACTGCTTGATCCCTCTAAAATTCGTGCTGAAATTTTTCCTGTATATAAATCACGAATTCAATGTTGTGTATCCTATAGAAGCACCATAGAGTGTCCTTTCTGGAATGCATTAGTGATTGCAGGTTCTAAAGAAACATAATATGTTACGTGTTTGTCAAATGATTACTTTCTTTCTAGAATAATGACTTTTCGAGGATGTGTTTTCACTTGAATGCATAACTTAATAATGCAAAAAAAAAAATATAATATGTTATAAGAGATCTACAAAAATATTATGTTTTTATAATTGGGTTTGTCGGTGTGTAACGTCTGTGTTCACTAGTATGTGTTTTCACTTGAAAGCATGACTTTGTACTATGACATCAAATCTCATAGAAGGATGAACCTCACAATTTTATACATTATTGTTTAACTTCCCAGATTATTGCCAAGAGTACTCCATACAAGCATACTTAACTGCAGAGTTCCCAAGAGATTTCCACTCATTATACCCATTAATGCCCGTTTTACATTCCAACTCTATATTTACATCTCATCATTCATTCTTCAACATTTGATGTGGGATATAGTTCATTCTTGAAACCTTTTCTGCTAGAAATCTCCCATCTTAGAAGCATGCTAGAAACTATTAATTGTGCAGATCTTAACCCTGATGATCATTCTCTATCTTGATTCGACTGTCCACTTCAAATTCAATAGTTCACTGGCTTACTAATTTTATTAGCTAGATTCAACGCAGAACAACACATCATACCAGAGGGGATCAAACTTTGTTACCAATTGTAGCATCTCCAACCATATTATGCATGGCATGTCTGATTTAATCAAGCTCGTACCATAACATAATAAACCTAATGATTTTATATTATTTTGGGTAACTTCCCAGAGGGCCATCAATCTTAGGAGTATTCCATTATGATCACTCCCAGGGAAAATTCGCCAATCATACCAAAAGAGGCCATGCAAATTTAGACCTAACCTTTTACATATATAACTCAGTCTCGTTACTCTACTTTTGGAGCGAGTCTTGGTTCATTCACGCACCCCTTTTTACCTAGAAGCTTGTCATCGTAAAATTCTAATTAAAAGCTGATCTTTTTCAGACCTCGATAATATAAATCACTCCCTGTCCAAACCACGGAACTCTCTTCAAATTCAGGACACCATAAGGTATGTAGATGTGCATATGAAAAATTGTGAGAAATTGTTTCCAATTGACAGCAATCAATATAAGTATGTGTCCAACGTGCATCTGCAAGTGCTGATACAAGTGTTAGTGCATGTGCATGTAGTTGGGTGTGTGCGGCTGCATGGGCGATTGTGAGTGTGTAATTGAGTTTTGTTGCATAAGTGCAACCTCGGTAAGTTGTATATACGTGCAAACGAGAGACGCGGAGAAGGGGAGACTGAGAGAATTAATCCTGCAAATAAAGTTTCAATCTTACAAATGCCAAGTAAAAAAAATTACTAACAGCAGTGAAATAAAATGGTAAAAATCAAATCAATGCCAAAAAAAACTACCGCTCCTACTGCTAATAGATTTATTAGAAGTTTAGCCTTCTTTTCGTTTCGAATAATATGAAATTCTTGCATCTATTTGAGATGAATATGAAGATTTTTATTAATCCCATTGAGGTTTGGATGTATGTAAGTATCTACTCTTCTATGTTGTGTCTTTTCTTCTTTTGATTTTGTATGAAAATGAATAATGATGAAATATAAAGAAGCTTACAACTCCAATGCCTAAGTCTCTATCCTAAATTTCTCTTCCAAGTACTAGTACACAAATACTCTAATGAGACACAACAATGCTGACTTCAAAACTTACCTATCTTCGGGCCTGCTTTATTACTTGAATTTTTATGGCTTTCCAATAAATGTTATTGGCCCACTCTGAGTCCTCTTTTGCAAATCTTATAGTCATCAATTCATTTTTGTAGGATAGAACACGTTATCTATGTTTATTTTTTCCCTAAACTATCAGCTAATCAAGGTTCTTAGATTTGAGCTAGACCCTGCATTTCTTTTAAGATTTCAGTTTGAACCTTATGCCTACTTTAACTTTAACTCTCATTTAAACTTAGGCTCTCAATTTCCCAAGAAAATTTAACATCAAACAAAAACAGTAAATACATGCAAAAATAAGTAGCTGGGCAAATGAAACTAAAATAAAACCAACGCACTTTTGGAGAGAAGTATTGAATGCTCTTTCACAACTCCACTTTATGATAGGTGTCAGGATATTTATGCTGAAACGCTAATGTACTATTTGTGCATGAGTATTGCTTATACACTTTTCAAACTTTGTCAAACAATGAATTACAGGAATTTAACTTTGACAAAACTTAATACAATGACACACACACTGTTTAAATAAACAGCTGAACATATCAAATAGTGTTTAACAAGATCTTTTTAAGTGTTCTCCGTTCTAGTGTTCAACATGAAGCAAGAATGCACTGAAAGTGAAGAACCTTCTAAGAATAACCTTGTTTCTTAATAGTATATGGCCACATAAAATATACCAAACAACATCAACAAATTTTACTTAACTGCATAAGTTCCTTGCAAAAACGGTACAACATGGATTTCACGTTTGTTCAAACCTCATACAAAATCCAAATAAAAAATGTTTAAGGACATTTTCCTTATTTAATGTGGCTTGGCGAAAGAATAAGTTGTTAATTTGAAATCACCTACTAATCTCCAAATCTTTCCAGAAAAGATGATTAAATTAGTACTATTACAATAATGAAAATGAGCTCATTATTAGATAACAAACCCAGGAAACAAAAGAGCGAGCCTATACTTCTGTTTTCAAGCGAAACAAAACAGACACCATGAGTACATACTTTAGCATAGCTTTCAATAGCAATATATCATGTTCTTCCTTCCATAATCTCCCTTTCAAACCAGGAAGCCAATATTGAATGTCTTCAGAAAAAAGTAGAGTCCTTGGACTTTCTAAGAGATTCTCCAGCTATAATATCATAAAAGAAAACATACATCTCGGTCAACATCACAGGTGCAGAAATGCAACAAATAAGTAAAACGCATCTCTTGAATTAAAATATGGTATCATCAAAGTAGTTAGCATTATGTTGAATTGCTGCTGTTGTTCCAAAAAAAAAAAAAAAAAAAAAAAAAAACATTCAAACAAAATTTTACAAGATTTAGAAGCCAATTTCATTGTCCAAAAACTATTGAGGTACAGTTATAGATGTAATACCCAAATTTTACAAAAAAAAGTAAATTAAGTCATTTTAAAACATACCCAATTTTTTTGGTTTCCATAAAAACCTTTCATACTTTCTTTATAAAATTCTACATTTCCTTTCAATCATTTTGACATACAAAAGTTGATAATAATTTTTAAATATATAAAATTTATTTAATTAATCTGCATGTGAACCAGTTTCCCAGAGTTTTCATTAAATGTACTGTAGCGGCCCTGATGCTATACTGCAGCATTCCGATATAATAAAATCCATTATTTTGACAAACATGGTCGGTTAAGCATAGAAGGTGGACATTTAGTTGTTTAGAGTAAATAATATATATATTTATATGTAAATTACCCTTAATTCCTTCAAGTTTGCAATTTTTCTTCTCCCACTATTACTTGATTTTCTCCTGTATGCTGGAGACAGACGCTGCTGTTATCGTTTTTGGAGTTTGGAGAGGGAAATTGAGATAATAGGGCAAGCTAATTTGAAGTTAAGCAATATTAGCACTGTACGTATACAAGTAATACCTAAATCAATACACATTCTTGCATCTTTTTCGTCCATGAAGCTAAATCTGGAAGTGTCTTTGCCGCCCCAGGTTTGAGCTGCTGAGGAGACAGAGAAAAGAAAGGAAGAAGGAAGGAAGAAGAGAGGGAAATGAAGGGAAAAGTGAAGAAATGAAAAGAACAGAGAAGAAAAACTAAATTTTACGGTAAAAATTTAATTCTTACTCTTCTTTCTGACAAGTTAATTCAATTGGAAGAATTATAACCGTGAAAATTTCTCTGAGAAAAGAGAAGTACAAGTTTTGGAGAGAAATTTCTGGAGATTGTCCTAGCCCCAACAAAGTGTTCACATTAGATTGATTGCCATACAAGCGTGCATGTGGGGAAGTCATTTTGACGTAAAATTGACATTTGGTAGTTTAGTTATAACAAATGAAGAGTTATTCAAGAATCTCATGCAAATTAATCAATTGGGTATTGTTAGATTGTTTTTAGGGAAACTCGTCGAGAGACTGACCCAACAATCTAGCAAGATAGTTAATTGCTAAAGAAAAAGAAATGATCCCAGAATCATTGTTAACTTTAGTCTACCTGCACATTCATTTATTATTGGTTTACTTTAGAAATTAGCAATTATAAGTTCATCCATAATAGTGAACATTTGCATACCCCATAGAAAAGCAACCTTAAGTATAAATTATTCATTTTACTAAATCTCACTGCAGTCATTGACATGTTAAAAAAAATGATTTTCTTGCAAGTACATTCAGTTAAGTAATAATTGCATATAAATATTTATAACTAACAAATGATCAAGAGAATGTCAAATGCTATAATAGCAAGATTATTTTACTAATAACTTACGCAATAAGAGATGATAGGGACATGATTGAATTCCCAACACTTACCATTGAGATTGAAGCAGATCATTTTGTATTAGGGGAGTTGTTTATAAGTGCAAAGTTAGGACAACTGTTGAAATTTTAGGAAGATTTTATAACTTCTATTTTTAGTATTTTCTATTTCCAGAATGTAGTATTATTGATATGTTGTGATTTTTTATTCCTTCTATTAGTACGGGGAGTTATGAATAATTTTATTTTTTTTCCTGAAGTGTGAGTCATCCCCCTCTATTTATCTTATAATCATTTACTATGAATTCGAAGAATAATACTTTTCTCCCCAGCAAAAACAACATGGTATCAGAGTCATGATTTACCCTCGAAATTGAAATTGAAACATTTCGGTTGTGTACCCACGAACATCACTAAGACATTGAGTTGTGTCATCCCTCAATGTCAAAGAAGTTTCCAGTAGCAGCAGCAGGTTCACCATCAGAGAAATGACACTGAACTGCGTAAGTTCAAATCTTGTTGTCGATGCTAGAGATGGTTGCGAGAGACGGGACTTGCGAGCTATAGACCGAGCGTTTTAACAGCAGCAGACCGAGCCAATATAAGTATCAAAGCATCTTTCTTCTCCCTGTAGGTAGCCACTATACGTGCGCTACTCTTCTCAGATTCTAAGGATGTCGTACAAGGCAGCAATGATGTCCAGACTCCAGAGAAATCCTACCACATCGACTGCTCCCACTAATTCAAAAATCAAATTACCAAACCCTGCAACTCTTTTCATGATTATAACGGGTGTGTATTACCCACAAAACTTGTCTCCTTATCTCACATCTACAAAACTCAACGAGCACAACTATTTAGAATGAACTCAATCCATATATCGACAGGAAAAATACAATTGGATAGTAAATAAGATAAATTTCAAAACCTGCTACTGGCAATCCGAATTTGAAAAAAAAAAATAGAGTATGAAAATTTTTTGGTTATGGCTCGCCTCATCAACTCCATGGAACCTACCATAAAAAAACCACATCTACTTCTTTCCACTGCTCAAGATATATGTGAGACCATTCTAGATCAACATTCAAACTTGGAGAATTCCTCCAAAATTTTTTAGTTCAAAACTACAGTTTAAAAATCAAAACAAAACGGCTGTTATGTACGAGTTGGTAGCATAATGGCAAAAACTTGAACATACCTATAAAGTCATTTGAAAGAACTCAAAAAATTATGTTTGCCGCAAGAAGAGAGAGGAAAACAACCCAGTTTACAAGTTATTAGCTAGCCCTAGTTAGATGAACTCCGAGGTCACATCTTAGTAGAAAAGAAAATATTGTGCAATATTGAATCTTCTTGAAACATGGACTAAGATAACTCAACTCTTATGTCGAAAGGGTTGATACTGCCAAAGAATAGCACATGATATCTTGGTGTTAGCATTGCAAAAAGGTCATAGAACCACGAATGAGAAATGTTGAAAACTTCATCCTAAACCTACAAACTGGAAATCAAATTTTATAAGCGTGAAGCTCGAGCTTATCAAGCCAATATTAAAGAAAGTCAAGAGCTTTCTGCTAACTTCAATGCAATCCCTTTCATCAAGGAGCAATTAGAGCACTTTTATAAATTATTGCAATCTCAAAAATTATCTTTAACTTCAACTTGCTCCTTAATAGGAAGGGCAACTCTTTATCGCATACTTTATTAGTTATTATTTCTAATATTTCTCATTCTTGAATAATAGATCATGGTCTTACTGATAACATCATTGGTTATGCTAAATTATTTTCATGTTATAGACCTTTTCAAGTAATAACAATGTCAAAATGTCGATGGTTCACTCTCAGTAATTGTTGGTATCGCATTTTTCTCCATATTCATAGTCTATCATGTATCTTGTCCATTAGTAAAATTAATGCAGATCATCAATGTCAAGCTAAGTTCTATTCTTCTTGTCGTGCATTCCTGGAACTGAACATGGAGAGGATGATTTGTAGTGCAAAGGAAAAAAATAGACTATTATTTTGAGAATAGACTTGACTCAAATAGATAATGTTAAAGTACTAGTTTAAATTTTTTTTCTATTTCTAAAGACAAATATTATTATGACATTATATGTTAGATCCTCCTAATTTTCAGTACTTAAGATATCTGTTTCACATATTATTTCAGAATAAAAATTTATCTTTGTTTCAATGTTAAGTTTATTAGTTTGCTAAACAACATAGTGCATCTTTTTCTCCACAAATATACAAACCAAATACATAATTTACTCTCATTCATAATGATACCTAGTGTCCTTCTAAAAACCTTACACATTCTGGGAAAAAATAGTTTATGACTTTCACTAATGATCACACTAGATTAAGTTGGGTTCATTTAATGAAAGATAACTCTGGAGTGAAAATAATTTTCTAAAACATTTACATCATAGTACAAACACAGTTCAAAAAAATCATCCAAATATTATGAAATGATAATGGTCGACAGTATTTAAAAAATAATTTGGGCCAATTTCTTTTTAAAAAAAGAAATACTTCATCAATGCTCTTGTGTCAACACTCCTCAACAAAATTAACCGACTAAAATGAAAAACAAATATTTATTGGAGATAACTCGAGCATTGCTATTTATCACTTAGGTGTCAAAATATCATTGAGATGAAGACGTCCTTACTGCTACATTTATCATTAAAAGAACACCCAATAAGATTTTAAATTTTGAAATTCCTTATAATGTTTTTCGAAAAATTTTCCTAAGGAATCATCTCTCATTTTCTTTACTTCTAAAAATATTTGAGTGTACCGCTTTCCATTCATAATAAAGAAAAACTTGAACCCTGAGCCAAAAAATGTTTTTGATGGATATGCTCCTAACCTAAACGAGTACAAATGATTTGATCATAATTCTAAAAAAAATATGTTACCTTTTTTTAATTACATTTCTTTTCACTTAGTTTAAGGTTGGACAAAATAAAGATTTGACTACTGAGTTTTAGGATCTACAGACTAGAAACTCCTAAAATAGTATTTCCGCAACCTTGATTATTTAACTTACAAGCCCAAACGATATAATATCAAGAGAAAGTGCATTGAGTCTTTTAAATATTTATATCTAATAGTGTCATCTCATGATGTTCATGATAAAAACGAAAAGAGAAAAAACACATTAGTAGTACCATTTGATATAGTCTACAAATCATTTGCATTCCCTAGAATCCATGAACCCACAAGTAATGCTCTCACTGATCCTTCATCCCATGTTCAGTCCACTTCATCTTCAAGTTTTGAGTCTTCAAGTCATGAATCTGAACCGACTTTGAATCCCAAATCTAAAAGTCTAACCTACCCATTAGGGGGAACCTATTGCACCCAACATCCGCTATCCCATTATTTGTTGCATTAAAACAGCTCACTAACTTTACATATTTTTACCTCACACTTATTTTGTATAGAGATTCCTATTACTTTGCAGGATGCTCTGAAAATCCCTAAGTAAAAAGAGGTTGCTTTTGAGAAAATAAAAAACTATTAAAAAAATAACACATGCGAATTGGTTAATCTACAAAGAGTAAAAATAACTATTTTTTGTCAATGGGTATTTAAAATCAAACCTAATATTGGTGACTCTATAGAACAATACAATGCTCAACTGGTTGTCAATAGATTCATTCAGACCTATAACATTAATTATTTAGAGACATTCACTCCAGTCGCAAAACAAAATTATGTAAGGATTTTCCTGTCACTTGTAGCTAATCTTGACTAGCCCTTACAACCGTTAGATATGAAGAATGTCTTTCTCAAAAGGGACTTGGAGGAAGAAGTGCATATGGAGACACCATCGAGATTCAATGAGAAGTTTGACACAAAGATGTATAAACTAAAAAAAATCCTTAAACGAGTTGAAGCAGTCATCGAGAGCATGTTTTAAAAAATTTTAACAATTTGATAATGGCTAGGGGTACACTTAAGGGCGGGGAGAACACACAATGTTCTCCAGACATCAAAGTATGGGAAGATAGACATATTGATTGTGCATGTGAATGATATCATTCTCACCATAAATGATGCATATGAGATAAACCATTTGAGGATTTTCCTATCATTTGCTTTTGAAGCCAATGACTTAGGATAACTAAGGAATTTTTATGCAGGGAGGTTGCTCGATCAAAAAATGAATTGTCTCCCAACTCAAGTATGTTCGTAATCCTCTTAAGGAAGTTGTGATAAGTGGGTATAAATCTCCTGACACTCCAATTGAACCCAATTAGAAATTAGAATTTGGGACAAGTTGACATACTTATTACATACATGACCAGATATAGCCTTTACGGTGAGTTTGCTTAAGTCAATTTATACATTCACCCTATAAGAAACACCTTGAAGCAGTCAACTGAATTCTCAAATACCTAAAAGGTACACCGAGAAAGGGCGTACTCTTTGAGAAGACGATACAAAGGAGCATGCGTACACTAATGCAGATTGGGCAGGTATTATAAAGCTGATAGTATAAATGAAGAGATAAGAACAGATGAGTTGCAGGCATTATCAAGCTAATAGCAAAAGTAGTGGGTAAAATGACTACTATTGAAAAATCTTCTACAAGCAACATGCCAAGAATTGAATTTGGTAGGGAACTTGATTAACACTAAAGGATATTGCAGTCATTAAAGCCACCTTCATTCAACCCAACAATTGCCAAAAATTGACTGTTGAAAATTATAAATATCCTGGATGACATAATTTGTTGAATAAAAAGAAGAGTAGTAGTACCTACTTTCATAAAAGAAGATGAAACAAAACGGTGATGGCAGACACAATACAAAAAGAATTTTGAGTTGACACCTCTCACACAAATCTAGTTGGCTGATTTTGTAAGGGTACCTAAAATTATTCATTCCACCTTCAGATAGATTAATATTACAAGATCCTTTTTTCAACCTATCACAAGAGTTCACGACAATCATGCCGTATGATGCAGAGTTCACCTCTCTCCATTTATGAACCACATTATGTCACCACTCAAGAGAAAAAGTGTCACAGATTCTTTCAATGTCTTAAAGATAAGCTGAAATTGGCTTTAGCTCCTTTTGAATTCAGTGACTTCTTAGTGTTAGTTGGAAAGGCCAGGAGGATTGAAAATAAGATAAAAAACTCCAAGAAACAGTGGGAATCACAGGCAGGCAAGCATAAAAGCTTTGATAAATAAGTAACTTTTCATGACTAGGAATTCAAGTTTGACAGCAAGCAAAAGAAGACTCATATTAGGAAGCCATTCAAAGATAAGTGCAAAAAAAAAAAAAACATTTTGGGAAAATGCTTAATTGGATCAAAGATAAGTGAGAGAAAGAAGTGCATCATCAAATAAGTTCTTATTAAAAAAGAATAGGTATAGTAAGCCACAGAAATTTTAAGGACAATAACAACAAAAAAAACTTTTGGAAGGTTGTATGGCATATGGCACTGAATTCTATGGTAAGCCTTCAACTCGAGGAAAAAGACTTCAAAGAGCAGAAATGAATCACAAGTGAAGGCTGAAGTTTTTGAAATTAATTCCCAAAAAGCTAAATAATTGAATTTGTTACAGATACGCTTCTAATACCTGGTCAACCTGGCATAGTTTTATTTTATTTAGGTGCACCGTATTCTTTTCTTTTTTAAAAATTTTGTCTTGGCTTATTAATCAGCATTGTATGTTTTACTCATGCATTGTGTGCTATTATGTCTTCTGGAGATAGTTTGTGTGCGAATCTAAAATGTTTTGTAGATGTTAGTATTCATAATGAAACACTGCTAATATAATTAATTATTAAACCAATGAGGAGTTTTGATGTCATTCTGAGTATGAAATGGCTCATTGGTCATTTTGCAATCATTGAATGCTAAAAAATTGAAATTTAACTTGCTTGATGAGAAGCAATTTACTTTCCTGTGATAAAATGCAGTGTATTATATGCTTAGTGCAGTAAGAATTGTGTACATCTAAAGAGTCGGAAGTGTGTATTTTCGACAAAATTATAAATGTTGAATAAATATGTGCGGAAATTAAAGAATATTCCAGTTATTGTGGAATATTCTGGCGTATTTCGTAAAAAAATGTCAAATTTGCCATCAAAAAGAAAGGCTGAGTTTTCGATTGATGTGAGGCGTGGGAAATCTCATGAAAAAATGTAAATTCTAGTTGTGGGTGCTGCATTATTGGGACACATTATCGGCGATCAAAGAATTCAATAGCCCCTTAGACAATGAAAGTAGTTGTAGAATGGCATGCACCTAAAAGTGTTGAAGAGGTTCACAATTTTTTGGGACTAACAAGATATTAGGACTGTCAAAAAGTTTACACAAATAGCTATACCAATATCCAAACTAATGAGAAAATATGTCAAGTTTGAATGGACAGAGGAATGTGAAAAAAGCAATAAAAAATTGAATAAGCATTTGACAACAATGCAAGCACTAATCATATCATCGGGAACATAAAGATTCCAAATTTACGTTGATGCATCAATGAGAGGTCTAGCATGTATCTGAATGCAAAAGAAAAAGAATATTTGCATTTACATCAAGATAGTTGAAATCACATGAGAGGAATTATTCGACACATGCTCTGCAAATGATAACTATGATATTTATTTTGAAGAATTGAAAACACTACCTATACTGGAAAAATGCACGGTGTTCATCGATTATCAAAGTTTAAAATACATTTTCACAAAGAAAGTTAAATTTGAGGTAGAAAACGTGGTTGGAGCTTATTAAATATACAGTGTTGTCCTAAGTGTTCCTGTATTGCAAGATAGATGCCAGAATTGATTAGAAAAATAAATGTGTAAATCAGAAGACTTAGAGATACTAGATATTTAAATTCGTTTTAAACCAGCCTTAATAGACAGAATTACAGCATCACAGAAAGCTAACTATAACTATTAATAACTTATTGAGAAAATTCAGTCAGGGAAGAAGCAAGACATTATTATGGATGAACACGGTGTTATTAGAAATAAGTTGCAGCTTTGGGTACCTATTGATCCAGATTGAAGAAAGGAGATCTGCCATGAAACTAATTCTTCAAGTTATATAATTCATTCAGATACCACCAAGATGTAAAATGATTTATAATTAATAGTATGCTAGCCAATTATGAAGGAAATAGTAAAAAATTTTGAAATAAAATGTCAAAAATTTCAAAAATGTAAATATTACATATCATAGAGGTAGTGGATTGCAACAATCATTGGCTATAATTGAGTGAAAATAGAAAGAAATTATAGTGAATTTTGTCATGAGATTTCCCAGAGCTAGTCAAACACATAACAACATTTAGGTGGTCACATTTAGGTGGTCATTGACAGATTAACAAAGTCAGCTCACTTGAAATCTAGCAGACAGATTCGGTTGTTAATTTGCTTTGAAGATGATAAGGTAATTAAACTATATATATATATATATATATATATCGTTTTTATTGCTTTCAAGCCATCACATATGAAAGCAACATGGACAAA